AAAACTCCTGAATTTGCTGATAAGAAGATCGCGTTTTTTAGTATCTGTTTTTGTTTTTTTTTTTAATTATATGCCTTATCAGCAGGTTAAATTTCATCTTCATGCAAAAAAAAAAAAAAAAAAAAAAAAAAAAAATCAGTGTTAAAGTTCATTTTATTCAGGTTACAGACAGCAGATGTATTTCCACTTCGTAAAGGACGCCGTGTACGCGTTCGCACACGCGCTGAAGAACATGCACAGCGCGTACTGCGGCGCAAACTTCACGGGGTTGTGCGAGGCCATGGAACCAGAAAAACTGAACGGGACTGCACTGTTGCACTTCATCAAGACGGTGAATTTTACTGGTAAGTGCGGGGAACATCTGGAGCGGTATTGATCTACCCTCTACCAGGCCCGCGGAAAATATACGTATTCTTTTCAAAATGGCCGTCAATTTATTTAAAGACATCTGTAAATATCTAGTGAAAAAATCAATCTGTGGCCCTGGTAGAGGGTAGTAGCGATCTCTCAAATGTGCATATAGGCCTGTTTCCAAGAAGTTAATTTACCAAAACGTGTATCAATTAACAGTGTCCACCATTTTTGAAGAATAAATCACAAATGGTGCGTCACACAAACAGTCACATCTTCCCCACTTTTCCTTGTTGTAAAGCTAGCTGATAACATGTTAAACCAACCGTTATTGTCAAATTTGATTCAACACATTAAGAAATTTAAGGACAGTTCCTCTGTTGATGTGCGATTCAGCTTGATTCACTTTTTTTCTGACCGAAAATATCTCATATTTCAGATAAAGCATCAGGTCGGGAGTTCGCCTTTGTCAATGGCGTGGACGGCCCGCCTCGATACACTTACGTGCACTTTAAGAAGTTTAAAGGTTCGGAATACCGCTGGCATCTTGTGGGGAACTATTCAGGTAGACAATGAAACGTTCGTTTCTGACGGAGAGTTGATCTGGCCCCCGTTTTACAAAAAAATCCAAAATCTTTAGCTGTCCAAAGTAAGAAATCAGGCTGCTTTTGATATTTTTTGTGAAGCACAACTTAGGTGACTCAATATTTCGCAGCTTAATTGTTAGTTATATTTGTAGAGCTTATATGAAATGAACAGGGACGGAGGAGGGTGATTTTTTAAAAATTGTTCCGTATGTCATCCATTGTCGCACTTGTGTGACATTCTCACCTCTCGAGATTTGACCGTGACTTACTTGAAGTTCATGGATGGAGCATTGAAACATTTTTGTAGATAATCATCATGTTAGTCATTTACATGTGAAGGCCTTGCTATCTCACTTGTTGGGATTTTTTATAATCAAAAGAATTAGAGCGCATTCAGAACAGCGAACTAACAACTAACTAACGTGGATCAAATATGGACGACCCACTTGAATGCTTGTTTCTTAATCCCCGCGGGGAATCTGGGAATTAAGCGGCAAGCTTTCTAGTGGGTAGCCATATTTGATCTGCGGATCTGTTAGTATGCGGATCAACTTGTGCTGAATGTGCTCTTAATTATACAATTTCCTATATCCATATCTCTTTTGTTTGCTGTTAGGTGTGTACGAAATCCCCCAACTGGACCTGAGTCCGGTGTTCCTGCAGGATCTGAGACTGTACCCTGCCTCCAGCTGCAAGGAGAAGTGTTCGCCGGGACAGGCGCAGGTTTGGTGTCGATTATACTCAAGTTTATACAGGCCGTATGATGCGAGGGACAGTTACCCCCCCTCCTCCCCAGAGATCTTTTAAAAACGACTTTTGGGATATTTTCACAAAATTGTAGCAGTCAGGGTTTTGATAAATGTCATTGGGGGTCGGGTGGGGGGATACGAACCTGCCTGCACGTAATGGTCACGTTTTGGTACATGTAGGTCTTCAGTAACTGCCCGCCAATCATTTTGTTACCCTACGGCCATGTTATATATGGGTTTAACAACATAAATATTTGAGTAAAGAGATCAGTAAAACCTCCGACACAAAAATAACTTGCAATTATGTATCAGTAATAAGGCACATAAAATCTTAGTGGTTGACCCAAAATATTTTAGATTGCATTTGTGATATGCTTCCTGTAATGTTCATTATCAATGCTCTATGCGTGGTCTGATGTTTCGATATATTTTTGCAACTACAGAAATCCAAGTATCTTCCGTATGGCATAAAGTCATATGTGACCAGTAAATTCCAAAAACTCGTTTTCTATGAGTCAAAAACACTACGCCTTTAACTGTAAGAAAACTATCTGTTCTCCTTATAAGCGATGTAACACACAAAAAATATTCATTTTGTTCCAGGTCCATCTGAAGGACAACTCCTGTTGCTGGGTGTGCACCAATTGCACGGAGAACCAGTTTCTCCCCACACCAGACAAATGTGACACATGCGCACTTGGTACCTGGCCCAATAGTCACTACAACGCGTGCGAACCACTTCCGCTGACGTATATGAGTCACGTGAACGGATGGGGCATCGGATCGTGCGTGTTCGCCGTGATTGGCATGGTGGTGTGCATTGTGATTGGAGCTGTGTTCCACGTGTACCGTGACACGCCCGTCATCAAGGCGTCGGGCAGAGAGCTCAGCTATGTTCTTTTAGCAGGAATATTTCTGTCGTATTCGTCTCCCTTGATCTTTGTCGCCAAGCCCAGTGCCGCCACGTGCGCCCTCACGCGCATCCTTCTAGGCGTCTGCTACACCGTCTGCTATGCCGCCATCTTGACCAAAACCAACAGAATTTCTCGTATCTTCTTACACGATTCGAGCTCCACAACCAAGACTAAGTTTACTGATCCCAAGTCGTCCCTGATGATCGTGTTCTGTTTCACATCGGTGGAGCTGGTGATTTTGGCGGTTTGGCTGATAGCAATACGGCCCGACATAGCCCACAGCTATCCCACCAGCAGAGACAATATCCTCATATGCGCTGGTGCTAACGGCGTCGGCTACCTCATAGCTCTAGCCTATCCATTCCTTCTAATTATCCTCTGCACCGTGTATGCCGTTAAGACGCGGAAAACTCCAGACGGGTTCAACGAGGCCCGCTACATCGCCTTTACCAACTACACCACCTGTGTCCTATGGCTGGCATTCGTCCCCATGTATATAGCCACGCCCACTCACGACATCCGGGTTTTCACCATGTGCATGGCGGTAGCACTGAGCGGGACGGTTCAACTTGCCTGCCTGTTTATGCCTAAGCTGTATATAGTGCTGTTACACCCTGAAAAGAATACCCGAGAAGCCGTCATGACCAAGAAACGGTCCATGAGCAACACTTCGGGATGGAGCAACAGCCATATGATATATGGGGAGAGTATGTGATTTTTGTCAGCAAAGTTCTTGTTTTGTTTTTATCATTATGGATTTGCTTGAAGGTTGATGCATTTATGGATATTAAATGAGTGGATTTCAAATGGTATATCGGAAGAGTGGATTGAATGAAGAATGAGTCAGTGTGTGTTATACTTATCAGTTTCTACCCATCTCATTTCTACCCGTCGCTTTATTTACAGTCGTGTTACAAAGTGATCAATTTTATCGATGCTGAAAAAAAACACACTGCAGCAGTTTTAAGTTTTATTTTCATGTCTGTTTCAGATAACGTCCACCTCACAATCCCAGCGACAGATAACCGAAGCTCTGGGATCATGTCCATGGATTCCGCCTTCAACTTGTCCCACGCCACAGACTCCATAGGACTCGGCAGCACACCGCACTGTGCTTCTACTCAAGAGACGCAAATCACGGTCGAAACGAGCGCTGCCACAAACGGCGATGTTTTGAGAGAAAATCGTGCTCGTACTCATTCCTTAACTACTGATCAAAACGAACACGATCTAAAGAGAAAGTCTGGTTCTTGTGATGGAGTAAATCAAATACAGAATGATACGGGGGTGTTTGGAGACAATAACATATTTCCCACTTCGCGCTCAGATCCAAATCTGCTTTCTGTCACGTCATTTGGTGACGGTATAATAAGACCTTTCGCCACGAGCACACCACGCACAGGATCACGGGATGTGCACGTGGACAGCACAAAGGAAGACCTTTCAAGTTGGAGGTCACTGCGACAAATACATTCCGCTCCAAACTCTAGACCCAGGTCGCCTGTGACTCTGCGATATAGCAAATCTGAACGTTTAAGTGGTTCGCACCAACAGTTACACTCAAGAGACGAAGTCGGCATTAGAACCCATCCAGTAATAAGTGCATCAGTTGTCTCCAATTTCCCTCTAGATATATCGTCAGATGGGAACAAAAGCCACTCTTTTGCTCAAGAAGCAACTACATGTACGCAAAAAGCTCAGAAGAGATTAGACTTTGAGGACGCTGACACAGGTGCCAAGAGAAACAAGATTGGGAGTAAGAGATATGACCGCTGCAATCAGGACGGGAACGGTTGTATATGAAGTACCTCTTGCAAAAGGTTCATTTCTATCGTATTTGAAGTTGTTAGTGCTTGTTAATACTAAGATTTTACAACATACACAACTTACTGCATTTATGATCGGGCGGAACGAATTACTTTGTATCGCGTTGTCGGGCAAATGGCAACAATTTACCAAGTCTGCTTGTTCAGAACGCAATATGTGCAACAGAAAACAAGAAATTGTGTTGGCGCTCGTCATATCTCTTTCAAGTGAAGCAATTCCTTCATAAAAACGCTGGTCAAGCATTTGTCAAAATGTCAATTTTTTAGTTGACGTGAATTTTGAGCTATAATATTTTTCTTATATTTGTCTGTCTCTCTATCCATATAAATATCCATTGGTGCATTTGCTTGCAATGGAGTACGCACACACACACACGCGCACGGTCGTCGTTATGCATATGAGAGGATTACATGCATCTAAATCATTATGTAAATAACAAAGGTTATACATTGTACATTCACAAAAATTTATCTGGTCATTTCTTGTCTCTAAAACATATTCCCGAGTTTTTGATTGCAGCAGAGAAGGCAATTTCTTTTTCCCCTCAGGTGGCGCTATAGTACGGTCTGATATGTCAAACATGGCAAAAACTGATCAAAATGTGCATTGGACCATATTAGGATAGCCGGTGACCTACATAATGTCGTTTTATTTTTGGGGTGGGTTAGGTCTTGGTGTTTATTTTCTTCTGATATATTTTGAAATATGTTGAACATTAATGTCTATTCCATGTAACTGTTTTGTTTGATGAACTGATAGTGAAGTTGTACCTGATCAAATAGTGGCGAGAACTGAAAAGAAAAGGCGCCAGCTGTATCCTGCCTCCCCCATGAATAGAATTGCTCCTTCACTCTAGAAATACATGTCACTTCTTCCTCAGTGCTGAGAGATCAGGCAGTGGATACGAGACGGTCTGGATACTAAGTATACAAATATTACAATTTCAGTCGATTCAATATATGTCTATGATAGTGATGTAATGTTTTATTTGTGTTTCATTTTTGTAATGAATTTTGAAACCTGAATGCTTTTAGAGTTGGTCATTTCACAATATTTTCCATCGTACTATTTCGTTTCCTCCTACATTTCATCTCATCACGTCTCCTAAACATGTGAAATGCTGTTGCACTTCTTATTTGATGTTTTGGTCGGTAAAATAGTGAGGACAGTAATTTTTTTTCGAGAGAAAATGTCACGAAGAGGAAGATACCGTGAAGTGACCTGTGGAAAAAAAACTTAGCCTATAATCATGTATATCTTTAGTGACTGTCCGGTACTTAATGAAAGGATATTATGTTGGTATTATGATATATGTCCATTTTCAAAGTAAAGAACATAACGTAAGCATAGCAATATACGTCCTTATGAAATTTTGACAAGATTCCAAAAACAATGCTGTATGTTTCACATCATAAAAATGTGTGGGGTACATTGCAGATGTAGTGACATGTGGCTGACATATTAGAGCGCATTCAGATGACCCAAATGCGATCTTATAAGATCAACCTTCCGAAGCATAGGGGGCGAGCTGAGAGACCGAAATGCTATTTGATGTGAATGTTGATTGCACTTTCGATATTGATGACCAATGCCTATTTCACTCTTTTCATTCAAAACGCTCTGTCCAGTTGTATTTTTGAGTGGCTTTTGATTTATATGGCATCAGGAATTTTGCAGTGATTTACAAATTGAATATTGACTATTTGCAATGTTGCTAAGAGTGGTCATTAATTTTCACCGATTCAAAAAAAAAAAAAAAAAAAACTTTTGTTTCGGTGATTCGCCCCTTATGCCTTGAAACATGTTCTTTGCTAATTAAGATAATTCTCAGTTTGCTGCCTTTGCTTTTGTTGAATACTACCATTTACGATTTTCTTCAGTTTGACAGCAAGTGTAAAAGTGTAACTAAGATATAATGGATTTCAGTAAGCAAAACTACTGACTTTATCTTGGTTTAATCCTTCATTTGACTTTCTTATTATAGGACATAAGTTTGTATCTACTGGTACAAAGAGTGCACTTGAAGTTTAAGTTTACTTGAAGATTCCAGCTACATTAAAACCTTTTGTATTTATGCACATTTTCACGATCAAGTTCCCAATATATATATATATATATATATATATATATATATATATATATATATATATATATATATATATATATATATATATTTGCTATGAGGGGAAAAAACAGTTCATGTAGATATAGAATTAGATTAAAAATTCATTTTGCATGTATGTATGACTTTTTTTTAGAGAATGTCCATTTTTATTATCAAACTTACGAGCATTTTACTATTCAGTTTGAGCCATGCATATGGAATAATACTCAATGCAATTTCATTTTTAAATACATTCAATGCTGCTTCTAGCTTAATACAGCAAATTATTTTTTCTGGAAACTTCGGCAATTTCTTTTTTAACCAGGGTATGCCCTGTCATAACTCTTGTAAAAGTGGGATCTACAACCTCGTTTTCATAGTGCAAGGTCCTAATTTTTACCAGCACGAGTGAAACCCCTTTCAAAGTCCCTTCTTGAAAAAAAAAGTGAATACCGTGCATAGAGTGCGAAATAAAATTATTGTTTGTATTTATGTTAATTTGGTCAATAAAATTGTAATCTAAATTACAATCATTGAAAAATGATTACCGGTTCTGAGAAGTACAATACGAAACGTTTTATTATGAAATATATCTGACATGTGTTTAGAAAGTTGGTAAACATATATTGCAAGATATTTCGAATTGACAGTAAATGCAAGGAGCACATGCTCTGCCCAGTGAATTTTTACCCGGATTCTGATAACTGTGCCTGTTGTCTCTTTTGTAATAATAAGTTTTGTATGGGACGTTTTTGAAATTTTATATTACCATTCTAATGTAATGTTTCATAATTCATACGGATATGTCTATTTTGAAATTTTGTATTACCATTCTAATGTAATGTTTCATAATTCATACGGATATGTCTATTACTGAATGAATGTTGAGATTTATTTCACTAATGACAATTTTTGGCAAATGTAAGTAAAATTGGTAAGTGTCGCTCTTTAGTGTCGCGTTAAATATTTGATACGACCATTTTTAGAAATTATTTCACAGTTTGTTATGGTTATATAGAGAAAAAAAGTGGCCGATTCAGGACATTCAAAGGAGTCAAATTAGGAAGTTTGGATAATTGGAGCACTTTTCTTGATTATGCGAGTCCAGAATTGTATTGTTGTTAATTATGTTATGTATGTATGTATGTATGTATGTATGTATTTATGAATTATTATTATTTTATTGGGGTGGGGGAGGGACACAAGATCCACCATTTTTAAAAGGGATAATTTGCAAAAAAAAAAAATCTTTCCTTTTTCTGAACTGTTTTGAAATCAGTAAGATCAAGATAAGAAAAGTAGTTAAGTTGATAGTTTATTTGTCAATTAGAATAAAAAAATTGTTACACCCTTGAGCGATTCCTCATACAGACAGTAATTTTGCGTCATATTATATACTAGAACATTGTAAACTTACAGCGACAAAGATATATCTAAGAAAATGCCGTTTAACAGGCATGTATTGTTATTGTATAAATGCAAAAATAAACGACAATCTATTTGTACATGGAAAATTATTTTGCTCTTAATAAAATTTTTGAAATATATCCAAAATGTCTTAGCGTTTTTACTGACGGCTACGTGGCTCAGTGGTAGCTTGGGGTCGGGGTTGGGTTTCGAATTTTGGCTTGGGTACCATGAAACTACTGAATGGGACTTAAACAATTTCCTTTTGGTTACTATAAGTAGAAAGTCTACTTAGGGAGGGTGGGTGGGAACACATAGTGTAGTGGATAGCACGCTTGCCTCTGAATCAGCAGAACGCCGGTTCGATTCTTGGCTCCTCTAGGTCCCAGCAAATTACTTTTTGGCGAAAAAAAATCAAAATAAGACAATTTAAACACTTCAATAGAATCAAACGAATGTAGAAATTCCAAGGTAGATTGATGGCTGTTGGTAAGACATATCACTCTCCTGATGGTGTTCGAGTCGAGAAAGGAATCGATAAGCAATGTAGAAAATCAAAGTTTATTTTTCGTAAATAACATCACAAAAATGCCGACAAATACAGAGTATATCAATTTTGAAAAACCTAAATGGCAAATGCAATTACCATTACAACATGACACTTCGAAATACAGAATAAAATAAAGAGCTTCATAACCGGCAAATAAAACGTTGGAGATTGTATGTAGTTTGAAATTTGCTACTCAAAATACTAATCCTTTTGATACTTGAAGTTGACACTAGTATATATTGCCTTCTTATTGATCATATATTCAACTGAAGCACACTTTTGTCCAAATCCAGTGGTAAGAATGATACCGAAATATCAAAAGTCTGTTAAACAATAGTGCACCAAATATAACAGTAAACATTTTCATAATTAAACAAAAAAACTTTTTGCTCGTTTGCTACGAATTTTTAAATTTTCTATTTGGAGAGGATTGACAAAAGTTAGCATTCTATAAAATTCCATCTATTGGTTTATGGGGAATACCGAACCGGTCGTTCATGCACAGTACTCTAGCTAGATATCACTAATTGATAATTTTACAACAAATACTTTGTCAGTTTCATTTTCATGCATCACTTAAAGAAGACGTTACAGAGGGAAAATACTGACATGGGGTGATCTATGCAAGAGGTTTCATCGTTTTTTATGTTGTAATTGGGAAAGATAATTTAAATTAGTTTTGCGAGATATTTACTCAGTAGACAAAAAATATCTAACCTTATGACACGTTGATTCAAATGATTTAGTTAACCTTTCCTTTATTTCATCAACATTATTTCTGTAAAATAAGAACTACAAGTGTAGTTTCGGTTTTGAGAAAAGGATGTTATAAAGAAATGTGTGGACGAACTACAGTGAAAAACGCAGTGTGCGGAAAGAGTACTGTAATACAACGCTGTTAAGTATTGTAACATATATTAAGTAAACAACATGTAGGGTTGACGCCTAGCGAGATTTACCCCAAATGTTTTTTCTTTTCTTTCTAATTATCAAGTGCAACTTTTCCTTTGATACACGTTTTGATTCAGAATATTACAACCCAGAGCAAACAGTATATTCCATATAAAATGTCAACCCTGCATATGAACTAAAAGACAAACTTCAGCAAGCGAGAAAAATCTTGACATGAACGCTGGCGTCTTAGCTGTGGACACTTCGATCTTGTATACTATAGTTAAATGTTGGAGTCTCTGAAAGTAAAAGACAAAATTCACATTCACGAAAGGATCTCTAAGGGTTTGATAAAGCTGTATGTTATCATTAATTGAGAAATTCATTTCGGTACATATACATTGTAGTATTATATTATGAAAACCACTAATTATAACGTCTAACCTAAAACGAATATACACATGATACCACCACATACTTTATAATTACATTATTTTTATTTTCATATACACTGTAACACAACATACTCTGTCTTAAATCTGTCTTAAATACATGCGTAAGAAGAATTATAAAAAAGATACCAGTGTTTGGATTTCGCAGAAATTCGCAGAAGTGATATAAAAAAGAAAAAAGAAAAGACAAAGGACAAAAAAATTGACAGAAGGGTCAATTTTACATAAATATACATGATTTAAGAAAGAAAAATGAAATAATCAATTCGGATTTTGCTGGAGAGGGACTCACAAAATTAGGGAATGACCTTCCTTCTCTCAGAAAATATGTTTATAACAGAACACGTGGGCAAATTAACAGTAATTTATAGGGCACTGGAATGGAGAAATTACTTGGTTTTGTCAGTTTTTTCCCCGGGTAGGTGTTGGATAATTTTGTAATCCGAGCGCTGGAAAATTTAGGTCAAATATCTAAATCCAAAAGTGCGCCCATACGAGCTGTGAATGTAGATACCTGCATAGTCGTCTTGCTTTGTTTAAGACGGAATAACGCGTTCAGGTCTTTGGGTAGCTGGGATAATCTTCTTACTTCAGTTTATTGGCTAACGTGTTTCCCCTGGAAAAATAACAGAAGACAAACTATGTAGGCTAAGCTTCAAGCTGAATATTGACTTCTAAGGGAAGGCATCGTTCACGTTGATTAGTATCTCCCTATGGTCACCATACCTTAAATGGGAAATGCCGCATTTTGGGAAAATATCGTCAAATCCAAATACGCAACGTTGACGTATATCATCTATTCAGTACTTACAACAGACTGATGCAGCTTTCAGTGGCAAATTTTTGGCCTACATGTGGAAATTGTAGCAATGTGGCATGGTGTCCCTTTGTCCTCCATATTCTGTCGACCTTGGTCCTATTTGAACACTTCTCACCAAAACGCTTACCTGATTTACATAATAATATCGGGATTGTGTTAGAGAAGACAAGATACGATTTATACCCACTCTAAAAAATCACCCTCAAATTACTGTACAAATTACCCATTTGGTCATGCTTATAAATTCGTAAGACAGTAGTTTGACTCAGATAAATGATGCTATTCTCATTAGCACAATACAGTTTAAATGCAGTAGTATATAGTACAAGCACTGTATAAGTGTCATACATACATACACATCTGCACGTCCACGATACTGGGTAACAACAATGGGACATAGGCAACATGGCGTCGATCTTGGGACCACGCTTTCCGCTTAAAATATGTATCATATCGTGTTTTATATTCATAAATTTTGGAAAATGTTACATTAAACCTTGGACCTAAATAGGCCTATTTAGGTCCAAGATTAAACACAACCAAAGATCATCAAGAAAGAGTACACTTAACTTCACAGAGTTGGGAAAGCACGCTGCGATCCTTAATCGGCTGTGACCCAGCGACGACATGAAAAATTTCCTCTCTTGTGTGCACGCTCTCCGTTTATAAAATACATCGTATTTTTCTTCATATTCATATAGTTTGGAAAATGTAACATTAAACACATAAAATGATTATCAGGGATGAGTACACTTAGCTCCACAGAGTTGGGAAAGCTCATTGTGATCCTGAATCGGCGGTAAAACAGCGATGACATGAAGTCGTTTTTCGCGAGTTACACGCCAAAAAGTGGGGACCGGGTATAGCTAATTTATTTAGCCTCATTTAACATTCATGTGAGCGGGTCATAATGTCATCAGTGGAAATCTTCACTCTTTACGCTAAGTGCCTGGAAATGAATGGGGAAACGAAACTACACGCTAGCTGTGGTTTCGTTGTCGTGCGAGTCTGGAGGACACGAAAAAGGATTGGGTCATAACATCTCTGAATACACGCTCAGATGACAGGATTTCCTTACTCATTGTTTTTTTATGAAAAGCAGACTGTATTTCAGATATTTAAACCCCGAAATTAAACGATTTTAATAGTTCACGTGTATGGGAGATAATACTTTGTACTGCAGTTGAAAACGGTAACGATATTAACGCACAGCAACCCGGTTTCGTCACCCATCAAAATTTGCGACGAAGAGCAATTTTTGTTTTTCTCTAGTGTGTGTGTGCCCTAAAATATGTTTTTCTCAAAACATCAGTTGTAAGTATACATAAAATGTTGGGTTCTTTTATGCTTTGTACATTGTGATAAACACAATTATACGTCTTTATCAATCCCAGATACATGTATTTCTCTTTTACGAACAAGAATATGCACAGTCTTAGTGTTCAGTTTTGGTATATTTGGCTAAATGAAAAAAATACTTATTTGCTTTTTTGTAAGCTAGTCAACACTCGCCCTCAGTTTATGAATTCCCTTCTGTTTGCTTTACAATTATAATCTGCTTGCTGACTTCCTTCGGTTCTTCCTTCGGTTTCTGATTACATACTCAGTAGTTTTAAACAATGCATGAAAGTCCGGGTTTTGAGTATGCTTGTGATTGTCACGACGGTATAGAAATGAAATGAAGATACGATATGAAATTACAAACCTCCTGGGTCACGTAAGGATATTCTTGACAGCAATGTAGCTTTGTACTTCTCCTTTCAAATAGGAGAGTAAGGTTATTAGTATAAGGACAATGATCTTAAATGCTAATGAGTCGGCTTCCTTAATTGGCCCTTTGGTAATATCTGAGCGCTTTAATAAATGCTAGAAGATTACTTTACCTTCGAATCAGACAATATTTAGAGGGTGAACCAGACGTTTACAACTTCCGCGAATGAACCTTTCAAATCAAAGAAATAAGCATTCAGCTCTGAACTATATCGGGACATTCATCTATTCAAAAGCGTAATTGCCCCCGGCAACTACTGTGCCTGTAGTTTATAACTCCGTCGTTTGACAAAAAAGTTTCACTTGTGCTTTAACTTTATAATGATAGTCAAATACAGAGTTAGTTTTACGAGTATGTCAATTCGGAGAATTCGCATCTCTTATTTTAACATTAGGCAAATCGCTCCTAACTGCAGTCTTTTTTTTAATGACCAATTGGATTTTCTGCCATGCTGTTCATAGTGATCTCACTACTTAAACCCCCTTTACACTGGACGGCGTTCTTTCTACGTCCTTTATGCGACCATGAAACTGGCATCGCTGTGGTCGTAGAAAAAGGAGGCACAAGCTTCACTGTGGTTGCAAAATGGGTGCTCAATGATCAGCCAATTGTCGGCACGTAAAGAATTATTATTTTTCTACTGTCAAACGTTGCCGTACTACAGGACGCAGAAAGAACGCCGTCCAGCGTAAAAGGAGCTTTACTTTGCTTCACAATAATTTAACCTTTGGCTATCATCCAATAATGATGTCTTTTTACAAAGTTGTAAGCACTTCGTCAGTAGTAAATAATAGAGAGAGTTGACTGTGTGCGCATGCCCTTCCCTCTGATGTTTGAATTACAACTCAACTCNCGGACATAGGCAACATGGCGTCGATCTTGGGAGCACGCTTTCCGCTTAGAATATGTATCATATTGTGTTATATATTCATAACTTTTGGAAAATGTAACATTAAACACAACCAAAGATCATCAAGAAAGAGTATACACTTAACTTCACAGAGTTGGGAAAGCACGCTGCGATCCTTAATCGGCGGTGACCTTACGACGACATGAAATCCTCTCTTGTGTGCACGCTCTCCGTTGATAAAATAAATCGTATTTTGCTTCATATGCATATAGTTTGGAAAATATAACATTAAACACATAAAATAATTATCAGGGATTAGTACACTTAGCTTCACAGAGTTGGGAAAGCTCACTGCGATCCTGAAACAGTGATGACATGAAGTCGTTTTTCGTGAGTTACACGCCAAAAAGTGGGGACCGGGTATAGCTAATTTATTTAGCCTCATTTAACATTCATGTGAGCGGGTCATAATGTCATCAGTGGAAATCTTCACTCTTCACGCTAAGTGCCTGGACCGAATCTGAATGGGAAAACGAAACTACGCGCTAGCTGTGGTTTCTTTGTCGTGCGAGTCTGGAGGACACGAAAAAGGATTGGGTCATAACATCTGTGATTACTCCCTCAGATGACAGGATTTCCTTACTCATTGTTGTTTTATGAAAAGCAGACTGTATTTCAGATATTTAAACCCCGAAATTAAACGATTTTTATAGTTCACGTGTATGGGAGATAATACTTTGTACTGCAGTTGAAAACGGTAACGATATTAACGCACAACAACCCGGTTTCGTCACCCATCAAAATTTGCGACGAAGAGCAATTTTTGTTTTTCTCTAGTGTGTGTGCCCTAAAATATGTTTTTCTCAAAACATCATTTGTAAGTATACATAAAATGTTGGGTTCTTTTATGCTTTGTACATTGTGATAAACACAATTATACGTCTTTATCAATCCCAGATACATGTATTTCTCTTTTACGAACAAGAATATGCACAGTCTTAGTGTTCAGTTTTGGTATATTTGGCCAAATGAAAAAAATACTTATTTGCTTTTTTGTAAGCTAGTCAACACTCGCCCTCAGTTTATGAATTCCCTTCTGTTTGCTTTACAATTATAATCTGCTTGCTGACTTCCTTCGGTTCTTCCTTCGGTTTCTGATTACATACTCAGTAGTTTTAAATAATGCATGAAAGTCCGGGTTTTGAGTATGCTTGTGATTGTCACGACGGTATAGAAATGAAATGAAGATACGATATGAAATTACAAACCTCCTGGGTCACGTAAGGATATTCTTGACAGCAATGTAGCTTTGTACTTCTCCTTTCAAATAGGAGAGTAAGGTTAATAGTATAAGGACAATGATCTGAAATGCTAATGCGTCGGCTTCCTTAATTGGCCCTTTGGTAATATCTGAGCGCTTTAATAAATGCTAGAAGATTACTTTACCTTCGAAACATACAATATTTAGAGGGTGAATCAGAAGTTTAAAGCTTCCACGAATGAACCTTTCAAATCAAAGAATTAATAATTCAGCTCTGAACTATATCGGGACATTCATCTATTCAAAAGCGTAATTGCACCCGGCAACTACTGTGCCTGTAGTTTATTACTCCGTCGTTTGACAAAAACGTTTCACTTGTGCTTTAACTTTATAATGATAGTCAAATACAGAGTTAGTTTTACGAGTATGTCAATTCGGAGAATTCGCATCTCTTATTTTAACATTAGGCAAATCGCTCCTAACTGCAGTCTTTTTTTTAATGACCAATTGGATTTTCTGCCATGCTGTTCATAGTGATCTCACTACTTAAACCCCCTTTACACTGGACGGCGTTCTTTCTACGTCCTTTATGCGACCATGAAACTGGCATCGCTGTGGTCGTAGACAAAGGAGGCACAAGCTTCACTGTGGTTGCAAAATGGGTGCTCAATGATCAGCCAATTGTCGGCACGTAAAGAATTATTATTTTTTTACTGTCAAACGTTGCCGTACTACAGGACGCAGAAAGAACGCCGTCCAGCGTAAAGGGAGCTTTACTTTGCTTCACAATAATTTAACCTTTGGCTATCATCCAATAATGATGTCTTTTTACAAAGTTGTAAGCACTTCGTCAGTAGTAAATAATAGAGAGAGTTGACTGTGTGCGCATGCCCTTCCCTCTGATGTTTGAATTACAACTCAACTATGCCAAATTTTATGATCAGTATAAATGGCCATACCCAATGGCGGACATATCCCCCGGAACACTGAAGAGTTGGCGGAATGCCATTTACAAGAGAAGGCGTGGTCAAAGGGGGCTCTACGAGTTGCCCGGATGTACGATTGCGCATTACGGTTAAAGTATAGTCGGCACCATTTATTGTAACATGAGAGTAATGGCGCTGTACAAAGACCGCCATTTGATCCTCGAACTGCTCAAACAAACGCAAACCTTCATTGGCATTTTTAACAGTTTTCTTTAGTTTGACT